CCCCCCCAGGACTGGAATTTGACACCCCTGGTCTAGATACAGTTTACACAGCAGTTGAAAGAACCTGCAAATAGCAAAGACTGAAAGGTGTAGGTTTGGTGTCAGCATTGGTAGGGTCCAAATCAGAATCCCCATCTAGGGTCCAAATCAGAATCCCCATCTAGGGTCCAAATCAGAATCCCCCATCTCCCTAAACACAAAGTAATCCCACCAATCTTCGCACTTGCGGAGTCTGTCAACTTTGCTAATTGTTCGGCCAAACATCCCAGATAAACAAAATCAAATTTAATATCTGATGCCATTTTGAAGCTTTTCCCAGCAACCTGCGAATTAGCCCACCAAGCCCCTCCCCACACTGTGCATGTGAAGGCAATGGGAGGGGCCTTCAGAGAGGAGGGGGGTCCTGCTGACATGCTTCATTACTCAGCTGGTCTGGGAGAGTAGAGGCATAGCATGAAGGAGATTACAGTCCCATTAGGACCTTGTTTGATGCTCTGTGTGAGTGCCACCCTCTCAGGGCACAACCAGAATAGAGAAGTACTAATATGGTGACTCGGTAAGGAATTACATTTATCACAATTTGCACTTTATACAATGTTTCAGAAAATGCCAATAACACATCTAGCAATTTTTATTTGTTATTACTATTCAAAATACCTAAACATCAAAACAACGACTCACAAGCTGCCACATTACAGCTCCACTGCCATTGGTTAATAATGAAAATGAGATGCGCACAATATTCCCAGCATGCTTTGGAAACTTAAAAAAACTTGACCAATGCCCGAATCGGCAAAGGCAGACCAAAAGCCCATGCATCTGTGAGCAGCTGCCAGAAAAACAAGATCAAAACTTTTTTTTTTCCACCTGTCAGTCAGTCTACTTCTGCCAAAATGTAAAACCCAGTAAACCCAGGACGCACCGTGATATCGAAAGCCTTAAAGAAGCAATTCAGGCTGGTCATGTGTCCAATAAAGCCACTAAAAAATGTTTGCAGCCCCATAACAGCTATGCTAACTGCAGTGACCTGTAGAACCATGACCTTTGTGCTATTGTACAGCTTATCAAACTCTCTTTAAGTTAGGTGAAGAATGTTGTTTAATTGTGACTATGAACTGTCACTTTCGCTGTATACGGCTGCCATCTTGGTGGATTGATTTGAGTGAGAACAAATTTCTGTTTTTTTTGTTTTTTTTTTTCCTAAACACAGTGCTAATCAAGGGAACCGATTCCTACCCCCCCCCCTCCGAAAAAAAAAACATAATTGAAACTGTTTGTGTTCTCCCTGTCAGTGCTCCATTTGCAGAGGTCACAAGCTAAAAAGAGAGAAAAAAAATCACAGCATCCTTACAGAGTGCCGCCTTAGCCTCTGCAAATCCCACTGGCCTCAATCTGGGCTGCGGTCAGGGGTCACCGTGATTTTTCTTTCTTCAAATCAAGTCCAGTTTATTCTGTGTGCTTTTCCATTTTGGCTAAAAGCAATTTAAATGGCACTCTGCATGGTTTACATATCTACCTTCCCCTCTGTCATTTGCTGATTTTTCACAATGACCTTTGACCTTGGGGCTCCCCATGGAAAATATCTGGATCCATGGGAACTCTTTAAATAGGTCTGGCGCCACTGGGGGGCATAAGGGGACGTCGCCCCCTCAAGTGAACTACCCCACCACCTCTCAGTGAAGATTAAGGTCGAATTTTATTTTTATTTTCATTTGAAAATACTAATACATAATTTAGCAAATCCAAAGTCACGATCTAGCCTACGTTTTCAAATCCTCAAAATCCATTCGATTGGTTGCCTGGGTGAGTGCAAGCTAATTAACATAGCGCAAGCTTGTTGGGTCGCGTTGAGTTTGGTGGACTCCGAATTAGCATCTTTCCTGCAGTATTTCAAGTAGGTAGCTGCTTTATGTCGGCAAACATTGTTGGTTCGGTTGAAATCAAGCTTAGAGAGTCGCTATCATGTGACGGCGTGAATGGTACATATTTCCTGGGGTTTGTTGATCTGTTAGTGTGCATGTGGTGTAATTGTGCACTTGCTAGAGTTGTAGAGCTGTGTGCAGTGTGCACAATGTTTTTGGGTTAAGTCACTACCCCCGCTCTGCATTTCAATTTGCTCACCCCCCCCCCATTCATTTTCCACTGGCGCCTGATCTGTCTTTAAAACAGTTCTGTGTGTGTTCAGGCTACATCCTAAAGAAGAGGGCAGGCCTGTGGGTCCCAAAAGGTTAAAGGACAGAATTACTCTTCAGCCTCTGTCTTGTGTAAAGAAGCCTTTGCTTCTCGCTGCTCCATCCCACCCCCATACCTGCCTGTCAGCAACATGGCCGCAGGCTTCACTCGAAAACATCGAGGTTAGAACATAAACAGTCCAGCCATAGTTGCAATGTCACTTTGGCACTGGCCTATTTACATATTTTCTCACACACTCATACATATAGGGGTGTACAATACCTTAGTGAGTTAGAGTCTGAGCCCATGTTCAGAAGGTTATGGGTTCAGGTCCCATTGCCAGCAGTTTAATCATATGGCTACTGGGCTCTTGAGCAAAGCCCTTAACCTCCAACTATTCCACAGACACTGCCTGATCCTGAGTTGTACATTGCCATAACGTATCCACTCAATAAATAATAATACAAAAACTAGAGTAACAAAAAATAATTCATATTCTGAGGCCTTAAAAAAATAGATTTTCCCTGAAATAGTTTTGCTTTTCTTTTACGGTGTTTTACATAAATTCCACAACAATATTCCCTTTTCCAGCGACAGCCTTACAGTGATTTATGTCCATGTTCTTGTCCATCTCATCACACTGCAACCTGCAGAGCATTGAAAGATTTAGATGTCAGAATGAATTAGCTGGCGGTAAATCTTCAAAAACCAGTTTAACTTCCCTATGACTCTTGGAATGAGACAGCACAATACATACATACCAAAGAGAAACAAATTCAGCTTCAATAAGGTCTGTTCCATCTGGGTAAATTTAAAAAAGGCTATTTTTTTCTTTTCTTTTCATTTCTTCTAAAATATTAAAGCCCAGAGTTTAGGTACACAGTCAAAACTTCCCTTTTCATTTCCCTTTACTTCAGCAGGTTTTTTACAGTTAACACACAACTGACTCACTACAAGATGTATCCATTTGTGGCTGAAGCTGCTGTCATGAGGAAATCTATGGAGAAAAGAGAAATTAAAGAGTTTACTGAAACTGGACTGAGACTTAAAATTGGATGGGAATGTCTGGTTTTGAAACTGAAAAACATTTGGCTTGTGATAAAATATAAATGGTGTGGACAAGGTTTTAAATCTATTTTCCTAGAGCATAAATAATTCATTGATAAAAATGACTAATAATTAAATGCATAAAGTCCTTGCCGTGTCATTGTTCCTCACCTGATACAAGCGAATCTTGCCTTGGGATATATTGTTTTCAGTTTTAGTTGAACCTTTTGTAATACATACTAGCCTTTATGGCATTTGCGTATATTACGGTGATATTTCTGCCACAATTAATAGATGGGCATTATAAAGTCCGTGGGGTTAATAATAGACGCTCACCATTCCGGGAAAACCTTTAAGCCTAAATTGGCTTGGCCATATTTCACCACCAGATGACGCTACAAACCATAAAACTAAATTCAAGCGTCATCAGCCACGTATCCAGGCACAGTCTATGAAATGTACTATTACCATTATCATTGCGGTTCCCAAACAAGAATTTTAACCAGTTCTCAACAAGAGAAAAATTACACAAACTTAAACGTGTTCATCAATCATGTTTTCTCTCTTCCTCAGCATATTTAATTAATATTTCAAGATATATAGGGTTAGAACACTGTTACTGAAATATGTTATTTATATGTGTGATATAATAATGTGCTTGTTTATTAACGCAATAAATAACAAGGCAAAATAGTTAAAGTACGGGCAAATTAAACTTTTGTAATTCATGTTGGTGTGAAGTCTTTAGTTGCCTAGAGTCTCTGCCAAGCAGCATAAGACTGCGGATGGCCTAGGTGGAATGCCAGCCCATTCTTAGGAATATTTTAATGCGTTTTTAGAAACAAAACAACTAACTAAATAACTAATGCCTAATTATCTAATTACATTTGTCTACATCTTAAAGCTTAAAATAGCATAGTATATCCAGTTCGTTTACCGTATATTACCTGCAACCATTTTGCGAATGACAATTAACTGTTTATAAGAAGGAAATGCTTATTTAGGTTTCTCACATGACAATTAATCAACCTGAGTTATCATTATGTTCCCGGGAAAATAATCAATAAAATGAGGAGCTCGCTCAATAACATCTTCCTAATAATATCACTGAATGATGTAGGCCTATTTATAACAGATAACAGCTAAATGTGGCAGATCTATCCTTCCACTAATATGTGTAGTCTTTGTCGGATTTGTTTTTGGTAATTTATTCTTGTAGTAAAATAATTGCGCGAACTAAGCACAATCTTTGATCATGTGGTCACAGCTAGGTGTGAGGGTTAAGACTGAGTAATAAAACATGTTACAGTACAGTATATCCATTCGCTAACTCCTTTCCAGAGCCAAAGTCTGTCGGCCAATAATAATAATAGCTGTATACAATTCCCATAGCACACACACTAGTTTCGTTAATGCCTTCAGCAACGGAAGTGCTAATTGCGTTGGAAAATACGCTTGAATCGTTTATGTTAGTTATGATGACTATGGATGTAAATGAGTGTTGGTTATAGAAAATGCCAGGGTGATTCCCCGTCAGGGAAGGCAGCCCCCCCCCAGCGGCATGGGCCGCCGTTAGAGGCTGTTGCGCTGACGTCATGGCTTCCGCCTGCGCGCTCTCTCTCTCTCTCTCTCTCTCTCACGCACGCACGCACACACACACACACATTATCCCTCCCTCCCTCCCTCCTCCTCAGCGCTGGCCGCTGCCTACAGAATCCAACATGGAGTAACTGGAGATGGGGCTCGTACGGGGCCACCTTCCGCGACATCAGCGCAAAGCCAAAGCCGGCGGATCTCGGTAATAATAATAACAACAATAATAATAATTATCGTAATAATAATTACAGGCGGAGAAGCGAAGAAAAGGAGGGGGGAGGTCGGAAGACGTTAACCTGGGAGGGAGGGTGGGGGCTGGATATGCGCATTCGGTGGTATTGCGCGTCCGTGATCAATTACCCGCAAGCGAGAAGAAGTAAAGGTACCGAGGCGAAGAGGAGCGAAGAGCAAAGCAGTCGCGGATAAAAGCGGATACTCTGTGATATGAAGGTGGTTTGCAGTGAAGACGGCAAGGAAAATGAAGAGCACGGAGCGTATGCTCACTGTGGGAAACTGCTGTAGGTGAAACGGAAAAAAAAAATGACCGAAGAAACACACCCAGACGAGTAAGTACATCAAAAGACCATTTTTTTCTTTCATGCTTTAAATTGCACTAGGTTATCCGCTTGTGCTTTTATATTTGCCTGCATGTGTGTATACTTTTTTTCTGCATGCGGTGGGGGGGATTTGCGTTATTATGAAGTTCGACCAAGTTGCCGCACTGTTTTCCGAGTTGTAAAGCAGTGGGCAATATGCGTTGACAGTGCACGGAGAAAAAGGGGGGAGAGTGGGCCCCCTCACGGATTCAGTCTCGAGAAAGGGAAGGGAAGGAGGGACGGGGGTGGGGTGGATCGGAAACATTTTCTAAAAGGGATTTACAACTGAATAGGCCATTCAAAAACACAGAAAAATTCTCCAGTGACGCGGCTTTTAAAGGTAAAAATGCGCACGATCCCTCCCTTCCGGCGTTTAACGCAAACGAGGAGTTACGACGTGGAGGAATGATGGGGTTTCTGCGGACCGCAGGCTCCGGGGCGCCCAGAAAGTCGCCGTGCGGCCGGACCGACTGATATGTAACATCCGCCATTTCTTTTCTTGAATCGCTCTAATTTGCATACCGCACTTCATTCATAAAAAAAAACACCAATCGGGTGAGACCCGGGGCTTGCATCTTGGGGAGCTGCATACCCGATATGATTTATTTGGCAATCGGATTATATTATTTTCCTATTATAAATGGATTTGTGTAAACTGATATGCAGTTTTAAATGCGCGCGGCCGAAACACCGCCGATCGCTCGGGACACGGAGCGGTTTGTCTAATTTTGCAACGTAAACACATGGTCTTGAATAAATATCTGGCTATATCTGGGGAGGTAGTGCACCGGCGATCTCTTAAATTATGTCTTTAAATAACGTCAGTCGGCCTTATCCGTATAAATAGGGCGTTGCAGACGAGCGAAAAAAATATGGTATAGGCGTTGCAATAACCGTATTACCCGTGTGCCTGGCAGGCCGCATAATGGGGCAAATGCGAGCGATGTTGGACACAAAATGCTGAATTGTGAAGATGGGAATAGTCCCATAACGCCGGTCCATTCATAAACTTAAATCAGGCTGCCTGACCTAAAAGGGATTTAAAGTGGAGCCGGTGTCACCTGCAAATGGGTCAGCGAGGCAAAATGCAAAGGCGTATATGTCCGCTTTCAATCGGCTGGTCCGAGTGCGCAGTAATAAGATGTCTATGTCTATTTCTATGCCATTACGACACCAGATATCATGTGTTTAGATTAACACTATACGATACGCCACACCGGCGTCGTTATCTAAATCGTAGTGTGGTTTTACTGGGCCACAAAGGGAACAGAAATTACCGGGGTTTTCTTTTTTTTTCGCTCTCGTTTTCATCAGTCATTTTCATTTTTACAGTTGTGATCTCAGAGATAGACGTAGGTATCCCGAAGCAGGGCTCATGGCTGCAGGAAACCGCGCCGCAGCCTCGTCTCACGCCGACGTGTGACTTTCTCTGCTCTCTACACGAATTACTCAAGCGGCGATGCGAAATTCAATAGGATATTACAGGCTGCTTTGAAGTGTTTATATTTGCCCTTAAAAGTTTCAATCCAAACTCATTCATTAAAGCTGACATGTATCGGCTACAGTGCATTCAGGAAGAGTCACGATCCTTTTACATTTTATGTTGCAGCCTTATGCTAAAAATGTTTGAATTAATTTCCTTCCCGGTGTCAATTTACACTCTACGGCATAATGTCAAAGTGAAAACTGGATTTTAGAAACGTTGGCAAGTTTATTAAAAAATAAAAGTTAAGCCGTGACGCTTTAAATTTAGCTCAGGTGCGGCCCGTTTTTATTGATCAACTTTGAGATGTTTCTGAACCTTGTTTGGAGTCCACTTGTGGCTAGATCAATTGATTTAGACATGATTTGGAAAAGTACACACTTGTCAATACAACACACACAGCTAGCAATGTATATTGGAACAAAAACCAAGCCACGAGATTGAAGAACTCGGAGACAGGATTGTGTTGAGGTACAGATCTGAGGAAGGTTACAGAACTTTCTGTTACATTGAAGTTTCCCAAGAGTATTGTGGCCCCCCTAATTTTTAAATGGATGGAATTTTGTAACAACCAAGAACCGGGGCTCCTCTATAGCTTTTGGGCCCCGCGACTGCATATCAAATTGGACCCCCAACCCGGACCAATCCAATTATGTTCAATTGTTTTAGGGCCTCTATCTCTCAGGGGCTCTTGAAATCATCTAAACTGTCTCTCCCCCCTTTACGGTGCCCCCAGTCAAGCCGCTTCCAAGACATAGCCGTCTGCCCGCACTGAGCGGTTCGTGGAGAAGGGCCTTTCGTACGAGTGGTGACTGAGAACCTGATGGTCACTCTGACTGAGCTAAAAAAGTCCTGTATGCCGATTAGAAAACCTTCCATAAGGAGAACTGTCCTTGCGACACTGCACTGATCGGGGCTTTATGGCTGAGTAAAGGGACTGAAGCCTATTCTCAGTTAAAGACCAATGAAAGGCCACTCAGAGTTTGCAAAAAGGCATCTGAAGGACTTTCAGACTGTGAGGGGGAAAAAAATTCTCTGGTCTGGCAGAACCCATGAACTGTTTGGCCTCAATTCTAACTGAATGTCTGGAGGAAGTCAGGTGAAGCTCATTGCTTACACAATACCATCCCAGTGGTCCAGTACGGTGGGGGATCATGCTGTGGTCATATTTTTCGTAGGCAGGGACTGAGAGACTAGTCAGAGTCAAGGGAATGCTGAACAGAACACAGTACAGGAATATATACTTAATGAAAACCTACTCCATAGTGCTGCAGAACTCTGACTGTGCTGAAGGTTTACCTTCCAACAGGACACTGACCCTAAGCACAAAGCAGAGACGACGCAGAATCAGCTTAGAGGCAACTCTGAATGTCCTTGAGTGGCTCAGCCGGAGCCCGGACTTGAACCCAGTCAAACTTCTCTGGAGAGACTTGAAAATAGCCGTCTACCGACAGTCCCCATCCAAAATGACAGAGCTCGAGAGGATCCGCAGTGTAGAATGGCAGAATATCCACAGATGGAGGTGCACGAAGCTGGTCTTGTCATACCCAAGAAGACTTAAGGCTGTAAGCGCTGCCAGATGTGCGTCAATTAAGGACGGAGTAAAGGGTCTGAATACTTATGTCAATGTGATGGTTCAGTTTTTTTTACTTCTAATAAATATGCCAAAAAATTCGAAAGGCCAATTTTCGCTCATTGTCATGGTGGGATATTGTGTGTAGATGTATAAAGAGAAAAGATTAAATGTTTTTAGCCTAAGGTTGCAACATAAAATGTGAAATGGTGAAGGGGTTTGAATAAATTCTGAATGCAGTGTATATAAAAACATGGCACAAATGAAAGAATGTGACAGGTAATTTTCAGAATAGTCATTTCCTCACTCCAAACAGTAAAGATAATAGGCGTGTCATTATCTTACCTGTAATGTACACACAATGAACTCCAAAGATAAAGAACGAAATGACTTTAATCAATGTGCACTCTGCTCTCTTTCAAAGGTCATTTCCGTGTTATATTAATGTGTCATCTCCATATATTTATATGCCAAAAACAGAACAGACTTAATTCTTTAAAATTAGACTAGCATGTATTGGTAATTTACATAAGTATGTGCTTGCAGAAAATGTATTTTATATATTGAAGGAATACAAAGTACTTTATCGTACTTTATCAGCGATTGTACTTTTCTCTCACTTTAAATATAAATGCATTTTAATGAAGAAATTCTGTGATAGTCCAGAGGGGGGTTACATTTGGTTTAATAGCCATTGGCATTGCCAAATGAGCAAAATAGAGTTCTTTTCTTAGCTGGCCACTTTATCTTGAAAGACTGCTAATTGTGTTGCTGAGGCCACAGGACAGCTGAAAGAAACAAATTTAAAGGTGCTGATCGCGATGCCTAATTTATCATTTTTTTATATAACCAATCAGATTGTAGCAGAAGATAATGTGGTCACACCACCAAAGAGGCCTTACAACCGTAATCCTATGAAGAAACTGACAGCGGTTATTACCAGGAATCCTGTTTTTTCTTCTTGTGTCGCCACCACAACACTTTCTAAATCCAACCTACTACAGCTAAACTGGCGCGCTTAATTTGTTTGTATATTACATTTAATTTAGTGAAATATGGTTGCTATTTTTATTTTAGTCTTTTGGCTGTCTATTCTTAGTTTGATAACCTAGTTTAAGTTTCCATCCATAGGGGTAAATTTGTTTATGTTAAAATACAGAAAAATGTCCGTTTTGGGGGGGGGAGTTAAATATCTTCTGCACACCTGTTCAGCTGCCGTCTTGGTAATATTAAGCTGGGGTTCACTGGCATTTCACTGCACAATGGTAAAAGCTTCTCTCTGCTTTAGATGTGGTGTATATCTTAGTGAATTAGTGACTTGGCTGGTGCTTTTGTCCAAAGTGACTTTTCCTTATTTTCACAGCTGCAACAGTTCAGCGATTCTTCTGCTCAAACAGCACTATAGGGACTGAAGTTTATTTCGGTGTCTCGACTTTCGACATCCCTTACTTAGTTAGACTTTTTATATGTAGCGCATCTCCGTCTACCTCAGCCCTTTGATGACAATAGCCTTTTTTTTTTTTAAATAAAAAAGGCTATTTGATGCTTCGTAAAAATAATAATTTTGTATTGGTGTATATTGTTTCTGTTAGTGAAATCGCCAGCTTTCCGGATTGCCTTCCAGTGCTTAAAAATATAAGCATTTCTTCAGTGTTGCGTACAAGGAAATCGGGCTGCTCTTTTGAGTTTAGCAAAAGCTGAGGTATCTCGACATATCCAGAAAAAAACTACGAATGGCTGTAACTTCCTGAATCTTGCTCGGATGTGACTAATGTGATTGTTCAAGTTGGATGAGTGAAATTAGCTAGCTAATCATCGGTCTCCTTTATTTTTCTGTGTCTTTCATAGATATTTCAGAATTATGGTATAAAGCAACGATTTTCTTTCTTTTCTGTTTTGGTAACATTCAGTGTG